TGGACAGAAAGTATATTTTGTAGATTAAGGCTTTGCTTACCAGCATTACCGACATAAAGCAGCACAGAAGGACAAAGCATACGAAAATCTTCATTTCTGCGGCCTTGAAAATGAGAGCGAGGGACCTGTAACAAAGGGAAACATTCCACATTGTATCTAATGGGCCGTGCAATGGCTCATGCGGCCAGTCACTGGCAGAGTGGTTCTGAAACATTGTTTCTTTCTGAGTCCTTCGTTTGGACCACACAATATCTCACCGCTGCTCCGTAATTTCTCGTGCATCATCCGAGGTCTGGACAACGGGTTCCTCGGAGGCCGCGTTTCCACACAGACAGATGTTACCCTGCTGTCCTGAATCTGCCTGTTGTATGCTGATTACAGTGCCGCCACTGTGGTCTAGGGGTCAGAACGCTGGGCTTATAATCCTGGGGTCCCGGGATCGATATCCGGCGGTGCCCGGATTTATAACTTGCGGCATTACGAAGATTATTAGTGAACATTATTAGTCTAACATTAGACTGAACTTACGTTACAATATTTCGAAAATTACAAAATTTGTAAAATCTGCTTTCACAGTTGTTAGACTTCACTGACTTAAAACGCACAATTTTCCCGAAATTAAACGTTTCTCAAAATCGAAATGTATATGAATTCAAAATGATCGAATTTTTTTTGCATAGTGCTGTCTTAATTTTTAAAATTACAATATTTGAAACTTTAAAATTTATGTTCGCACACCTGGAAAATTTTAAAACTTCCAAACAAACAATTTTATAATAAGGAATGGAACAAAATTTGAAACGAAATAATGTTTTAAAATATTAAGTATGTATTCATTTTCAGTTTAAAGGTCCGAAAGTATTTAGAATTGTAATAGCGAAAAATCATTATCTAGTCAGTTCTCATATTCGAAATTTAAAGATTTTAAAATTGAAATCTCAACATTCATCGCAATCTAACATGTCTTAATTGAGACCGATACAAACAAAATCAATCATTATCTAACCTAACCTAAGCTGACATAACCTAACGTTACCGACCGACGTATAACCCAGAGTAACCCAACTTTGCCTAATCTGTTCTATCCTCATTTAAATTAGCTTGACCAAACAAAACCTAACAAGAAGGAAAACTTCACCGAAGTAAAGAGAATTCAACGAAACCACACTGTAAATTCAATGTTCAAAACTGGAAAATTCTTCAACTTGAAAATTTCCTCAACTTCAAATTTGTCAAAATTCCAAACTCACAATTTTATAATTTGTATTTTTTTTTAGGAAATTGAATTTCCTGCAGATTAAAAGGTAGAAGATCTTGTGAATGAATGTTTCATGCATCTCAGATTTTTCCAACATTTCAAAAGTCTCATAATATTGTAATTTTTCAATGTTTCAAGATTTCAACATTTCCAAACATTCAGTTTAATTAAAACTAAAACAAAAAGTTACAGTGGAACTACGGTTCCGTAGATTTGACGTAAATACGTACTTATCCTCATTCCACAGGATTGTTTGCTGTTGAGCTAGCAGCAATTCTACATCACTTGACAGTTCTATATCTGTTCATTTATTTTCTTCTTCAGTAGTTTGTTGTTTTTGGAAAAATGCATCGTTAATTGTAATCTTGTAATGTTTGTACAATGGAGTATTAATCAAATAAGTAAGCCAACGTTTTATTGTATCTTTCTTCATAGTTTATGGAGTCTTTTAGCTTCAATGTCAATGTCAACAAACTAACGCAACAATAGATTTCTTAATAATTCTTATTTAAGATAAGTACCTGTGATATTGTACGAGCCGGGATAGCTCAGTCAGTATAGTGACTAGCTACGGGCTGGACCACCGGGGTTCGATCCCCGACGGGGGCAGAGGATTTTTCCTTGAGCCTCTGCGTCCAGACCGGCTCTGGGGCCCACCCAGCCTCCTATACAATGGGTACCGGGGTCCTTTCCCGGGGGTAAAGCCGGCCGGGGCGTGATGCTGACCACTCATCCCCATCTAGTGCCGAGGTCAAGGAAGAGAGGAGCTATACCTCCACTCACCCCAATCGCCTACATGGCGTATAGCGGGACAAACTTTACTTTACACCTCATATTGTAAAACGTTTTTAACAGCACAATATTATATACTCAACGACGCACTACTTCTACAAGCGATTCACAACTCAGCTCTTTCCGCAATAAAGAAGGATTGTTGACGGCTGAAACACAACAATGCCGAGATGACGTTTCCTAGGTAACATAACAATGCATGCAAGCTGACCATTGTTGTCAGTCCATATTTACAAATTGTTGATATTTCCTAGGTGACCATCTTACACATTTTCCTGTCACTTTTTCGTTACACTTTTTCTTGTCACTTTTTCGTAACACTTTTTTGTGGAGTCACTCTTCCATATAGACGTATTTACGTCAAAAATTAGAAATTATCAGAATTTTAAAACATCCACAAGTTAGAAATGTCCGAAATTCTTGGACAATTTGAAATCAAACTTTAATTCACAATTTCAAATCATATGATACTAAATTCGGCCAAGGACAGGATCCCGTGGAGGGCTTCATTTAATTCGGTCATGAACTTTGGGTTCAGTAAACCATCTAGTTAGTTAGTTAGTTAGATACTAAATTCAAATTAGGCATTTAACATAACCCACACTTTCTCAAGAGGAAGTGAAGATATAGACTAAAGTAATATGACCGAACATGTGTTAATGTGACCTAATCTAACCTAAAGTAACCTGACTTAACCTATCCAACTTAAGCTT